TCCTTGTTTTTTCTCAAATTTATTATCAATCATATATTTCATGAAACCAATAACTTATTTGTAAATTTTCAATCACGAATTCTATCAATTTTAATGAGAATCTATTAAAAATATGATTTTTAGCTAAATCTCATGGTGACGACGTTCAGGTTTTTAAAATATTTGTGATAAAAATTAAAAAGATAATTTTGGAATTTTATTTAAAAAAATATTTCTATAGATTAGGTGGTTGAACAGGCATTTTAGCAGGCCATGCTAATATATATTATTGTTTCAAAAGATGCAACACGATAAAAAAAAAAAAAAAATTTATATAATTATGGTATGTTACAAAATAAAGTCCAAAAGAGGGAATAGAGATCCCATTTTCATGTGATTTATAAAATTTGGACAAAATGTCGTTTTCATGCCAAAGAGTACGATCCTCTTTTGTGACTCCTAGCATTTTGGATGTTTAATTGTTACTAAAATTAAAAATAAAAATGTAATTTTTCTACAGTAAATCAATTCTTATTTTCAACCACACATTCTTCAATAAAATAATATTTTCCATCACATCAATACTTTTTTCTTCTTTTTCAACCACACATTTCCCATCATATCACTATTCAAAAGTCAATTCTTCCCCCAAAAATCCCTACCAAACACACTCGTAATATGAAATTGGAAAAATTAATAAAAAGCAAATTTTTCTATAATATATCTTTAAAAAAAAAAAAAAAAGGATGGAACGAGGTGATCTGGTCGATTGTGAAATTATTTTAATGGACATTATATTACCAATTTTTTAGCAATCAAGAAATATGTTTAGAAAATTTATTTTAAGCGACAAATTTATTTCACGCTAGTAGTTTCTCTTTGTCTAGACATGTTCCAACGAGAAAATCACGGAACAATTTTATTTAATTTTTAATAAGATCAACTTTATAGGTTTCAAATGAAGATCGTATTTATTTAAAAAATAAAACAACAAATTGGAGACACCTTTCTTAAAGTTTCTTTTCTTTTTTCGTCATGGACCCTACCACATGAAAATCAATAAAGTAGGCATTTCATAGATATGAGAAGGATAATATAATTTGCTTTCTGACTTATTTCACGTAATGATAACTAAGTTATGATAAAATCAAAGATACGCTTAAGACAATAAACCGTATCTCTTCTATTTTTTTTTCTTCATGTTATTGGAGAATAGCAACCAATCTTCTTAGATAAAACAAAAACAAGAACTCAGGGTATCAAGAAATCAAGAACACTTTGAAGATCCTTTGGGGGGAGAAGAGAAATTATACAAAACTATAGGGTCATGGGTACAAAATCTTGCAGAGAAGACATTATAAAATAGCATTTGGTTAACACCTACATTTGACAGCCCATCTTTTCCTCTCACACCAACCGCAAATCCAACTTAAATCTACCTCACCAACTCCCCATCAATATACTCTCCCATTACACACTACATTTCCTCGAAAAACTCCTGACCAAACTTAACCCTTCAAGCCCCTCTCGCAGGATTAGGAATGGGAAAAGTTTTTACTTTGGCTGAGGTTGCTGAGCACAACACCCCTAAGGACTGTTGGCTTATCATTGATGGCAAGGTGAAGGAAATATTGTGATTTTTATTGAGAAGTTTGTACCCTTTTATGAGTACTTTAATGGGTCCGATTTTTATTCGGGAATTTCATATCTAGATCTAGCAAGATTCAATCTTTACCAGTTCTTGATATTTGGTTTGCTATTTTGAATGTCATTGTACCTTTTGTGCAAATTAGGGCCTGTTTGAGATAGATTTTTGAGAATGGATTTCAAGAAGTGATTATTTATTATTATTATTATTTTGAGAATGTGGGGATGAAAAATAAGAAAAAATTATGGAGCTACATGCAAAATTATTTTATCAAGAGAATATGACATTGAAAATGAGTTTTGTGTAAAAGTGAGTCTAAAAAATCTGTACCAAACTGGGGCTTAATCTTTTACTTGTATGAACTTTCTCTTACACTCTGTACTTAAAAGAATGTCATTGTATCTTAGAGAAATTATAGTTGTTTATATGCATGTTTGATTTTTGATTCTCTCATGCTCTTTGGAGAATTCAGCATCTTTAATTTTAACCATTTTATTGGACACAACTTGCTGTAGTTTGAATCTGTTTGTCGTGATTCATAAAGTGATGAAGGGTTTGATGTCAACCTTTTTGGCAAAAGTAACATAATATAACAGAATAAAACATATATATAAAGACAAAATACTTACTATAGAAAGACAATGATTGAGGTGATATAAATTGATTAAGTTGTTGTTGCTTAAAAAGAAAAAGCTCAAAAGTGCAACATCTAGAACTAAAAAAAAAAAAATTCTTGTCTCAAATTCTCAATTTTGGTGACTATTAATATTGTATTAATTAGGATGGGCTTTTAGGTTTAATTGAAATGGGTTTTGGGTTTAATTGGATGAATGTTATATTGTCTAAATTGTCTACTAGAATATGAGTAGTTTAATTGGACCTAGTTATGCACAAGGATTCATTGCATCATTGATTCCTTGTAGAAAATATATACTCGTGAGTTTTTGCGGTTTTGTATTATAAATTTGTTGTCACTCAACACGTACAAAATCCATGTGGGATTCTTATGATATGATAAAAGATTTGTCATGATGCTATGTTGGAAATAGCCCACCTGCCATTAGGCACTTAGATGAAAATTCCTTAATTATCTGTTATTTAGAGCAATAATACAGCAGAAGTCTTATCCGAAGCTTCTCCTTTTAGCGTGAACTACTCAAAGGTTTGGAACTTGTCTTTGTTCTCATGAAACAGCTGATTGTCATTGCCGCCAACTCGATTGTGCAAATCTATCTTTTTGTTCTGCGGTGTCCTCAGCTCAATTTTTTGTTCACTCTGAGGAATCTTTTATTTTGTTTATGAATTATTCCCCTGGATTATTGTAGAGAGAATTATGATGGCTGGAGAATAAAATTTTCTCTATACCACTTCAACTGTTCCGGTAAAATCATCATAAGATTAAGCCCTTGTTTGATCCCTAATCCCCATTATTTAAAAACTCATTTTCAATTACACATTCTCCCCATAAAATCATCTTATACATAAATCCAAAACTTTTTTTTACTTTTTTACCACAGAATCTCCAAATAATTACTATTACCAAATCTATTTTCCGAAAAAATGGGGGTCAAACAAAACCTAAATGGATGTTTGGGAATTGTTTATAAACGGTTTAAATTATAAATAGATATAAATGAGTGGTGCACAAGTAGGTAGTATTTATGGGTCCCTAGAATTGGTTGGATAAAAAAGTGACTTGAGTGTTTATAAACATGAGCTAAACATGCAATAACTTCTTAACCCTATACTTATAAATTATAGTTGCATTTCACTGTTGCCTCAACCTTTAGACCGGATAGGTTGTCTGCACATTTAGACTTTAGATATCTTGGTTAAATACTTGTATCGTAGGCTAGCATAACCTGAAAATAACATGTGGAAGCACCTGATCATGAAGCAGTTTGATTAAAAAGCTCCTTTGGCTGATAATGAGATATTACTGCTTCATTTAAGGGTGTGTTCATGCTATCTATATCTACTATGTTTTTGTGCTTTATTTTCTCATGTGGTTACAAGTTGTATGCGGACTATTTGAATAGGTTTATGACGTGACGAAGTTCTTGGAAGACCATCCTGGTGGTGATGAAGTTCTGTTGTCTGCCACAGGTAATACCATCTTGTAATATTTTCGATTTTTATCTACATCATGTTTGGCTAGGCTTAAAAAGTTCATTTATATGTAAATAAGTATGTTCTAAACAATTTTTTTTTTTAATTTTAGAGTTGGAAATAAGTAAGTTATTAGTTACTTTCAAAATTAGTAATTATTGTTACTTAAAAGTAAGATAAAAGTTACTTATCCATCCATGTTTGGAAACAAAAGTAATTTTTACGTTGTGTAAACTTAGTCATATGCTCAACATTTTTTCGATTTGATAAATAATTTTGATAGTTTGTTCTTGGCAGGAAAGGACGCAACTGATGATTTTGAGGACGTTGGCCACAGCAGCAGCGCTAGGGATCAGATGGAGGAACTTTACGTGGGCGATATAGATTCATCAACCATTCCGACTAAGTCCAAGTACACTCCTCCCAAGCAGCCTCACTACAACCAGGACAAAACATCAGAATTCATCATCAAGCTCTTACAATTCTTAGTTCCCCTGCTTATCTTGGGAGTGGCTGTTGGCATCCGATTCTATACAAAATCGTCAGCTTGAAGTACGAGTTTCTGTGCCGAATGCTATAATAGTGAAACATTTCAACATTTGTGGTACATTGGGACACGTTTGTTATGTTTTTAACATTTCGCTTGGAAAATTAATGTGGTGGTGTTTCATAATTTGGTTCGATTGCACGTTCTGATTAAAATCTTGTTTGCATTATGAGTTCGGGTTAACTTTATATTGTTGAATTGTTGGAATGATGCGACTTTCATTCTTATTTCAAGGTAAGTTCATCCCATAAATTTAAGGTCGACGGTTCTTCTTTTTCACGATTATTAGATTGATTCTTAGAATATAAGAGCGTGACATGTTTTTCATGTACTTCAACATCGAAGACAAATTGTTAGAAAATAAGAATATAAGAGTACGAGTCGAGGATTATTGATTGAAATATATAACTCTCTTACAAAATTAATCCTCTTTTCCAAGTTCTTAAATTTTATTCTCTGAATGTTCATACACAATGTAACAAGGCAAAAAAAAAATCTGCAAAATTTTATAACACAATGAAAATTCCAAAAACAAGAAAAACTTTACAGCCATACACATTGAAAATGCAATCCTTGTTTTTTTGTTTTTTTTCCCTTTTGGTAAAGCATACACATGACAGTTGCTGGAGAGAAAAAAAAAGAAAAAGAAAAAGGGAGGGAAGAAGACACTACAGAAATATTATCAAAAATATGTTGTAATAACTAAATACATGCTTGTCACGTTCTTTCTGTTAGCTTAGAATCAGTTCTCTGTGACTGCCTTGAGGGAGAACTGGATCCTCTTGAAGAACTATGTCCAAATATATTCAGCTTGCTAATCTTTTTCGAAAAGGAACTCATGAATTTACGAGAACCGGATCTTTCCATATTCCTCTTCATACAAACATGTTCCTTTTCCAAATCGTTTAATCTCATCCTGAGTCGAGCTAGTTCAAGTTTCAAGTCCCTGTTTTCTCGCCTTAGAGATGCATAATTGTCTCGGGGAGACATTGCAGCACTAAGAGCTCCACTGTTGATCCGCCAGGATTGGTGCATCGGTTTTGGATCATCGTCTGGATATGAGCAGAATAAGGCATTACGAAGCCTCATCTGCTCATAATAAAGCACTTGAACTATTGATTGGAGAGGAAGGCGTTCGTTTTGCGCAGCGTGTGCACCAGCTTCTTGTGAGAGTTTCTGAAAATCAATTAATTTGCACAGCTTTCTCCTATCTGGATCTATTAAACCTTGATGAGCCTACAAAATGCAGCAGTTGATAAGGGCGTGTTTCGGGCACAATACTCAAATCAGTAAAGTAGACAAATTTTGACTTTTTTAATACTGTCATGTCCACCTTATCAAGCATGCCATGAGTACATATAGTTACTCATGCTTCATGGAAACATGTGTTGTTAGGACTTACCTTGAGGTAGACATCAATTGCTCGATATAATCCATCGTGGAGCGTGCGTGCATGTGCCGGTAAAGATTCTGCAATGGCTATGAATTTGTTGAGTTTGAGGTTTGCGTCAGGTGCAATTTCAGCGAGGTAATTGTCGACCAGTTTAGAAACTTTGAACAACGCAGTTTGGGAGGGTGAAGGAGGACTATCGGATTCGAACAGTGAGCCATCTTCCATATCTTCGTCACTATCTTCCTGCTGAGAAAAATTAACCAATATTCTGTGAACAGTATCAACGTCGAATAATGTATCTCCAGCATGGCGAAATGAGGGAATCAAAAGGTCATCAAGAGTAGCTATATCTAACTGGGATCCTATCCGTCTCTCGAGATCAAGCCTGCAAGACACTGCACAATCAAGCATGACGGCACTTCTTAACATGCCAAAAAGAAAGCTTATAGGAACAGCGAGATTTTCGACAGGCAGGAGGCTAACAACTGTCTCAACTACGAGTCTTTCATGACCACTGGTATCGGATCCCAAATCAACTTTTGGCTGAGTGGATTGATTCCATAAGCTGGATTTCTTTATCAACTCTTTCTGTGCATAAGTGACAAGTGATGCTCCAATACTTTCTGGCCTGACCCCACGGCATTTCATTGCTGTAATAACCCTTTGATACAAGTCAATGCGAAGAACTGAAAGATCTTCGATCCACCAGTCCCCTTCACACTTGGTTTGCTTGCTCATGTGAAGTCTCCCCGAGCTGCTGTACTCCAACCGTGAAAAACTTGAAGCAATTTGCTCAACACAAGCTTTGGAAGCTATAGCATCAATGCATCGAGTAACAATTTTCAGCTCATCTGCAAGTGGAAGTAGGTTTTCACATTGTTTGAGGACTTCAACACACATTTCAAGGTTTTTGCATACGACACTATCCAAATATTCTTCAGCTCGGGAACCAAGATTGTCCTTCGAGTATTCCTCAGTCATTTCAAGGTAATCAGAAATACAACATAGCTGAGCAACAACAGCAGCTGTAATCTCAAAGTTGACACCATAGCAGAATTTGGCCGCCAGTTCAAACGATTCAGCACCTCCCGGTAGGCTAAGAAGCTCCATCCTTGATATATCAGACTCCCGATGTTCTGCTACCAACTTTCGAATTCGGCCACTGCGGGAGACAAGAGGGAACTGCAGATAATCATAAATGCAATCAGAAATTCTGTAATATCATGAATCGGAGCTTGTTTGTATGCATAATGCAAATGGAAAAAGCAAATAGGCTACCACATTAGAGCATGCTCTCAAAACAGTAATCGGTGAATGAATGCTCACATACCTTTTTGGCAGCTCAAACTGAAGCAAAAATAACCAAAAAGAAAGAAAAATGAAGAAGTAGCTAGCTAAGACTTTGTCATCAATTATGAGGACCAGTGTAGGTACATAAAAGAAACAGAGAGAGCTAAACATGACTCAAAACATGATATGCAAACTTACCTTATGCAATGAAAATGTACCACCATCTACTTCAATAGTTATATCGCTGGGAACATCTCGAAATACCCTATCAGAGAACAATACCAAATCAGCAGTTATAATAGTAGAGCATTTTTGTAAATGTCAATAAAATAAAGAAATCAACATCCTTCAGTTTTTGGAATGATATTTTATGGCAAAATTACACAGAGAAATAGTTAACGGAAAATGACAATCGAACATAGATCATGCTTTATGGTTGTTTAAGCATATGACTTTTATGCAAAATTAGTGTTGATCAAGTATTTGGATCTCCTTACTCGGGTTCGAAAAGTAGAAAATGAAGGGAACAACTTTGTAATCTGCGAGTATTTCATCATATCCTTTCTTTCACGCGTGAAATTCTGTTCTGAAAAATTCTACATGGTCTAATGAAGTTTCATGATAATTCTTAAATATCAGAAGCTACTTTTGGTACTGCACTTATTTGAGTAAGAGTTCACTGAATTCTGTTAAATTTAGATCCACAAAATTTGCAATTTCAGCATCCAAAAATAACTTATCATTGATCAAAATTTGATGGTCATCAAAAACTTGGAAGTAAAACAAATTATAAAAGAGAGATTTTAGATGTAGGAACAAAATTATATGGAATAACAGAGTAGAAAAATTCAAGAATATTACAACAAAAACATAGCATTATTCACACACTAAACTTCGAGTCTGCTATGCTACTACTCTATTAACTTGGGGTTAGGTACACAAATCCGTTTTCAATAAGACTTCTGCTAGGTACAAGAAAAAGCTAAGATGCATCTTCTGCAAGGTCCAAGAATAACCCTCCAAGTGTTTAAATTTAGAAATTTATAGTATTAAGACTGGAAATAAGGGACTTCAGATGAGAACAAGTTATTAAAACCAGGATGTTTAGATATTTGGTGCGTATATCATGAAACTAAGTAGGAAATCCTAGCTCTCTCTCTCTCTCTCTCTCTCTCTCTCTCTCTGTGCACATCCTTAACTTCTTAGTCACATTTATGTGTAAGAAAAGGTTGGTTATAGGAGAAAAAGAGCACAGAGAAAATGGCCGTCCATGTTCTTCAAGCAAGATGTGACTAATAGTTCCAATTAAAAGGAGGTGCACAGCTTTCAATAGGCAACAGGACTTGCACACTGGACATGAGTATGGGAATATATCAATCCTACGAGTCACTGAAGGCCATCAACTACAAGAGATGGACGTGGCAAATTCCAATATTCTGTAAGCTGTGAGAAGAAATATGAAGTTCAAGCCTTCAAGTAGCATAGTACATTGAAGAAAATACGACTAAAAGTTTCCCGATCAACTACAAACTAATCCAACATTACTTCATAGATTTGCCCGCATAAACATAAAGAACAGTGTAATCCTCTTTCCTCACTGCTTTCAATTTCTTTATATAAGGCAGACAAATCAACTATAAGAAAAACAAGTTCTTGGAAAATCTGCAGAAACCAACAGCCATTTCTTCAAGTGTCCACTCAAGTAATGAAACATAAGAACACACCAATACAAAACAGCATATGACACAGCTAGAAAAACCCACAACTAGTATAAAAAAAATAAAAACCATATGTAACAAAATGAAGGCCAAGAAGCCAAGGAAGATGAAAAAAAAAAATGAAAAAATTAACAAACAAACCATTCACTGCACCGCTGCCGTGCGCACTTGGCCAGTGGCAGCTGCTGATGATGCTTGTCCATGGCCAGAGGGAAAAGTTGCAAATTTGTGAGAGAAAAAACAAGAAACTGGTGTTAAAGTTAAACAAGCACAATAAGAAAAAAGAGACAGAATGCCAGTAAGAGATGTCGAGTTTTTTTTAGTCGTTTTGTCAAACAGTTAGAATTCAAATCATATTTGCAATTGTCCAAAGATTTGGGCCTTTTTCTGTGGGTCATATTTCACAAAACATCATTATTTTTCTCGTATTATTTACTAATTTATGCATATAAAGGGGCGTAAATAAAGGAAATTTGTGTGTAACTTTTGTTTCTGTTCATGAAAGTCAAGAACTGTTTGCCATGTACACTGGATAAAGAAAAGTGGCTAAAAAGGCAAAAAGCGGGAATAGTCGTTTTTCTGTTTTGACATAGTTTACTCTTTGTTCCCTCAATTTTATTTTATTTTTATCATTTTTCTTTTCTTTTTTCTTTTAACCTTTAACTTTTTCCTATCAGAATAAGTTGTCTTTTCTTTAGAATAAATTGTCTTTTCTTTGGTCAGCTAATATTGTACTAGGGTTAGAGAGAGCAATAATTTTTTGAAAATGTTCGATAAATAAAATTATCAGTAGTCTAATCCACCACAACGATAAATTAGAATTTTTTTTAGCAGATTTTAATTAAAATGATGAAATGTGTGATTGAAAAGCTGATAAAATTTGTGGGTCCCACAAAATGTGTTATTAAAATTAAGTATTGACTGACTTAAATTTTTATAAATTTTTTTAGCTAAATGAAACAAGAATTGCTTTTTCTAGATCAACTATATAAATCTTTTTTATCCATATCTTTCTGTTCAGTTCATTGCTAGATATATAGGATGTCTTAACCGGAATGGTAGTAAAATGTGTCTACCGACTATCTTTATGATCGTAGGTACCATTTTGATCATTGTTTCTTTCTTCGTAATGAGAAAGGAAATACCATTTGTTGTTGCCGAAGGATATATCAAGGACTCATAGTCTATTCCTCCTACAAACATGGGTGGATGCTAAGCTCTTTCAATCCGTTCATTCATCTAAAAGACATTTGTAATTTTTATTTCCCTACAAAACGAAAAAGAAAAAGAAAAGAAACAAGGATAGACCATTTTATATTGCGTGTACAATCAAGATCCTCAATCCTTAGTACCTATCAAAGATCATGTTATTTTGGTTTTTCCTTATTGTCTTTTGACACGGTGTCACTTTTATAAACAGAAAAACTCTCTCGCTGATTTTTCATGTATTTTGATATTTTAAAGTATGTTAGGTATATAAACCAGATAACAAGCACGGGCAATCGACGAAATCGATCAACCTTTGGTCTACCACCAACTCAATATTTGGTAGCATTATTTTAAATTGTATAAGAAATAGCGGGTAGATCACCGAAGAAATATATAGGGCTGGATCCAGTAAACAATTAAAGAAGTGTCTTGACTACTACCAAACTCGACAAGGCACAATCTGGTAGTGGGGTACGATGATTTTGAATTATATCTTCTGCATTTATAGTTTATTCAATTGGTTGGTGCTGGAAATTGTTGAATTTTTGAGCTTTTACCCTCTTAAAATTTTTGAAATTTCAAAATAAATAACAATATTAAAAAATTAATTTCACGTAGTCGACGTGGGATTCATGGTTTTTAGTGGAGAGACCTATATTCAATTTTTATCGAGTGTAATGTCGTTCCACTTATTTAAGTCGGGGAGTCTATATTCAAGACTGCATTCGCTAATGGATAGAGTACTAGTTAGACGGTTGTCTTTCGGTCATGATTTGACATTTCATGCAAGAGGAGTAATCATCACAAACCTTAGTTAAACAAATTTTAATGTGATCTTCAAATGGACGCATTGCCCTTTTTCTAGCTTTTAGTTATGCTTAGAATAGCAGGATATAATTATTTATCGACACGAAAACGATCATCATTTCACATGTACACCTACTAAGTAGACATGAGAGTCGACATTCAAGATGCGTTTCACAATGCTCACAACCTTCGCCAGTGAATTGAGTGCCAACAACCAAATCTACATAAAATGACGACAAATAAGGAAAATATAAAGTTTTGAAAAAAATGAGCAAAGTGCAATAAAAAGTTTTTATAGTGACGGTGGCCACTTTGACAATTTATTTATTTATTTATGAAATATGATTATTCATCCACCTTTGGCATGTCACGTTCCAACACATTAAAAAGGTTGGGTCCATTTGTGTCCCGGTCTCTCATTATTGTGGAACTATTTAATCATATCATATAACATAATCATATCTTCCACCTCCCACTCGCACTGTTCTTTTTGCCTACGTGATAACAAAAAAATTATCATGTTAAAGTCAAAGTCTTCTTTTCAATTGATTGATTTCATCATTGTAGGCAAGCATGCTAGGATGGGCATGGTCCAAAACAAAGAGAGTAATTGAGTAAATAAAATTTTGGGTTTTAACCCTCATGAAGAACATTTTTGAAGAAGATTGTGAATTGTCACGAGACATGTATTTTAGTCGATAATTTTAATAATTCTTTCATTATACTGATATCGAGAGGGAAACTAGAATTCGATCATACTTTCTTGAATCATTGGATACTCGGTAACATTTGATTTTTTACTGAATTTTTGACATACGTTGACCTTGTTAAGTTCAATGACCGCATACAATTAATGTATTGATGAATCACACGCACTATTTCGCCAGTTCGTCAATTACGACTACTTGCATCATTCGACGACTTAGGTATCTTACAATGTAGGTGTCAACCAATTAATCAATTTTGACTAATAATATTCTTTCGCCAAGTTGGTAGTCATGCCATGCAAGTGCCAGACGTGTAAGATCTGCAACGTTGTTACTACACATCGAATATCTCATTACGTCATTAACATATGCACAAAAACTGCCACTTGCCACCACAACACCTAGAAGTAGCGAGGTCTCAACTATACGTGACATGCGAACAATTTTTAACTAGCCTAGTATTACACCGAATTATATGTACCAAATAATGAAATAGCGCCTAAAAAGTCAAAACTTAAATCTCTTTTTGATGCGGGATATTTTCCACCTACGCCGTAAACTTATTTGGTCCTTGTTTGGCGCACATTCTTTAAAACTTATTTGTCTTCAAACTCATTTTCGACCACGCATTCTTTTAATAAAATAATCCACGTGGATCCATAACTTTTTTCCTACTTTTTAACCACAACTTCTCTAAAAATTCACTTTTTTACAAAATTCATTCTAAAAAATCTACATCCTATTTAGAGATGCACTATAATCATCCAAACATGTTTTTATCCAATTACTAATTTACCATCAATATACTGTGGTCATATGTGATCGCGTGGCAATCGATTCACAACATTTTATAATTTTATAGTACTCAATAAATTCGAACAATACAATAAAATCGATCGTCATGTCGACAATTAGTGAAACCAAGGATAGAATTGCAAGTTGCGATTGTCCTCACGGTTGTTAATACGTCACTACATTACTTTGGCTTGTGAAACGGATACATGTCTTGTATTTATGTAAGGTATTGAGACATTTCGCATCAATTATGAAGTGCTTCATAAGTTTCAATTATTTTAATTTGAATGGACATTTCATCCACTTCTATTTTTTTTTTTTTATATATATAGATATACTCAAATATAATGATTATGAGAGTAGCTTGTAATGTTGGCATTACAAGTTGAGTGGAAGTTATAATTTTACTCCATTCTCTTCGTGTCACTGTATGTTACAGATTATATAAGTTTATTTATTTTTCGAGGATTATTCATAGATGGATTTACCTAACCTAAGAGTAGAGGTGGCGTTAGCAAAGACAGATTCATTGTTAGATTACAAGTCAGGCTAATACATACAAAAAAATAACTCTACACAAAAAGAAATTTTTAAAAGATTTTTATTTATTTATTTATTTTATAGTTTCCTTGTGCCCGCGGATGAGCGTCTACACAATTAGGCCTCGGCATTCTTGAATTTTATGTTTTCTATATTTCATAAAGCGAATTTCGTTCTTGAAATACTTAATAAATGAGTAATGCTACTTGCAGTCGCTCACTGCAGCAGTCGTCTTATGTGGCACACACATGATATGTAGTTATTCGATGCATTAATGTGATAAGTAGCATTATTTTTAATAAATTGTTCCAACTTTTGCAAGAATCATACGTAATTTCTCCTGGATTTTTCAATAAATGAAATCCCATAATAAAATAAAAACTTGGGAAAATTAAAAATAAAATGAACAAATATTATTATTTCAGAAAAAAATAATATGATCCAAGTGGGACATTTTCAAAAGATTTTTTTCCCCTAAACATAGTCATAATGATTCTTCGGGAGATGTGCTTACCAACTTTATTTCAAGCAGCACGCGGACAGTCTTTTCACTATACAACGTGCAATACCTTCTCAGAGTATTTTGTTTTAGATAAATTGGTGCATGATTTATATTTCGTTAACAAAAACACATGCATGCAAATACGGATAGAGCAATAACTTACCAAAATCATGGTACGTGTGTAATAATGAGCAAAACACGACTTACTCAAACGTAAAAAATGCACATATTCGAAGGAGATAAAATGAAGCGACGTATGCGAATGCAAATCTTCTTAAGATGAATTTCGACCTCTGCATTGATGCTAATAGGATCTAATGGTCGTCCATAATATTTCTTCCAAAATTAATGTGGCACATTATTAATTTTATTGGACGAACCAACGCTTGATTGTACTCTTCTAGAACGAAAGATATCGAATACTAAATATTGAACACAAAATTTAAAAATAATATGGAAATTATTTTGACATAATTTAGAGAAATAAAGAATTAAAAATCAATTATTTGGAGTGAAGAAAATGGAATTAGGAGGATCCTATTAATAAGATTTTCATGTGTCTCGTTGAATGATCACATCTTTTGGCACAAATTCAATTTATTTTTATTTAAATCATTAAATCACATCATTTCATATTTAATGG